CCCAGTAGCCCCGTGAGGGTCTACTGTTTTGATGCTTCAGCAATTTTTCTTACTCCCAGACCCTAGGCTCTGGGTACAAGCTCTACTCCTGAGTCCCCGGATGTGTCAAGGCCATGCCGAACACACGCCGGGCCTGGGCAGGTCTGCAGCCCAGGCCATCTGCCGGGGTGGGCAGGGGGCCGGGGACTGGTCGCCAGACCCTGTCCCCCATAGCCCGGCCTGAGACAGGTGAGGGGAGAGAAGCAGGAAAAACACAGCAGGTCACACTGAGCTCTGAGGTCCTACCATCAATCACTAGCTTGGTGCCTCCAACATTGATAGACTCAATCTGCTCTTTTTGCAGCTAAAAGACAAGATGGGGGTGGCAAAGTCACAATGCAGCCCCACACCTTGTTGCTGAGGCCATGGGGCTGGGTGGGGACCGGGGGCTGCAGAATGTCCAGTTCAGAGGGGGGAGGACCGGAGGGGCCCACGGCTCCAGCGCCCAGGGTTGCCACCAATGTCCTTATGACGGAGGTTGTGTGCGGTCTGGCCTGGGAAGTGGGTGGGGGCAGATGCCCGGGCAGTGGAAGTATCAAACTGGCTCCATATTGCACATGTCTCAAGGAAGGGGCTCAGATGGCCTGGACCATCTCCTCCCTGGAAGTCTGTTTTCTTTTCCAAGAGGGGGCTGCGGTGTGACAGCTTTCGTGGCCCTTCATGTCCCATTTAATCATTTCATCCTGATGGCTACACCAGCCGTCAGAGATATGATTTTTCAGTCATATTTTAGTTTTGCAGTTGCTTTATGTGATAGGTTTATAATCACAAGATTAAAAATATTTCATATGAGGGCTCCAGGAGAAAAACAATAACAACAACAAAAAACACAACAAATCAAAAATAAACAGATAACTATAAATCAGAGAGAGTCTGCGGGGGAGGGGGAGGGAGAGGAATTAAAACGGGGGTGGGAAGAACACAAGGGACGATGGTGATGGTGTGTGGGTGAAAGGGTGCTGGAAATTCTCTGGGGGCTACACTCAAGAAAAGAAACAAACGTTGTAAAAAAAAATTCAAATACTAGAAAAGGATATTCATTCCTGATTCTACCTCTTCCTTTCACCCCTGCACCTCTGTTAACAATGGCATGTATTTCTCCAGGTAACCTGTGCTTATAATGTCAGCAACATGTATACTTAATTATTCACCCTATTTATTTTTTCAAGCAGATAGGAGAGCAGACCCCTTTTTGCACCTTGGGAATTACCTTGTTATAGCACAGATGGGCTCACGTCACTCTTTGGAAGGGTTGTATAAATTTCCTAGTGCAGATACATCACAATTTAGTGATGTAAAAGGTCCCAAACTGACGGCCGCGTAGCTACTTCAAACAATGCTGCAAATATGCAGTAAGTGTGAGACACACCTACATGATGTGTCTATCTGATAGCTACTGTCACCCTGGTGTCCTCAGAGGCTGGGACAGAAGTACCAGCAATGGCCACACTTTAGAGATGAGGAAACAGAGGCTCAGGGAAGCTATGGCATCAGGCTGCACAGCCAGAGGTGACAGAACAGACACTGGCCCCATGGGTACATGTGCAGGCTGGGGGGAACCCAGATCTTTCCAGGAGCAGGTGAAGAGCCGCTCAGGCAGAGGGAGCAGGAGCTAGCTGCCCGACTCCAGGTATGGCGGGTGCGGCTCACCTTCTCAGCGCCCGACATTCCATAGGACGCCACGTGGAAGACACAGTCCACCCCTTCGAAGGCTCGGTACAGGGCCTCTTCATCTCGGACATCAGCCTGAAACAGCGGAGGGTGAGACGGGAGGAGGAAGTTCAAGTTCAAGGCAGACAGACACACATATGTAGATCCCAGAGCCGGCCCCCTGGCCCTTCCCCTCAAAGCACCTGCAGCATCGGGAGAGGTTGTCGGGAGAGGTTGTAGGGCAGGATTTACTAGTGTCATGTGTCGACTAAGGGCATCTCGGGCAATGACAGACCGAGGGCGGACAGGTGGCGAGTGATACCATCTAGCTGTGTGACTACTCGCTGCAGTGAAGTGGCCGAGAACACACCCCATGGTTAGCGAGATGGACACACGAGATGCTACAGGATTCACTGGCATCGCCGGCTATCAAGCCCCGTCCCAGGGCCTGACGCCATGTTTCCAGCACATTCTCACTGATTCTTCGTGAGACTCTTGTGGAGCAGATATTAGTGTCCACTGAGAAAGAGTGGACGATGGGGTTTGGATACACAGTGGCACACTACTCTGCTGTTTAAAGGAGATGGCATCCTGCCTTTGCAGCAAGATGGACAGATCCGAAGGGGGAGATGCTACATGAAATAAGTCAGGAGAAGGACAAGCACTGCCTGGTCATACTTGTAGGTGGAAAATAAGGAAACAAAGCAAACAGATGGGTGGAGCGGAAGAGCAATAAGCCAGTGGACTTTGACGACAGACCAGAGAGGAAGAGTGTGGGTGGAGGGGTCTAATGGATGATGACGTTTTCTTGGTTTAATAAATATATAAAAACAAACAAAAATGATCCAACTCCAAGCCCCATTCTCTTCAACACCATGGCTCTAGTTTCACATTAGACACTGTCCCCTGATTTCCACCTGCTGCCCCCCACAGTCACAGGCCCCAGGAGTCTCATCACCATACCTGGATGAACTCAGTCCCTGGGGACATCTCCCACCGGGGCCTGCGGAGGTCGAGCAGGATGACAGACAAACCGCTCTTGGCCAGGCTGGAGCCTAGACTGAAACCCAGGTAGCCGCCGCCTCCAGTCACCAGAACCTTCTGCTTCAGGGCCTGCACGGGGGTGGCCTGAGTCTTTTGCTGTGGTATAGGTGTTGGGGCGATTGTGGACTCACTGGGTTTAGGCCCCGTCTCAGACCCTGACCTGGGCCCCAGCCCTACTCCTAGCCCAGGTAATGGCAAAGCTCTGGATCCAGGTATTGACTCAGCTCCTGACCCAAGCCCCAGATCTGGTCCAGATCTTGAAAGAGCACCAGGCCCTGGTTCAGGTCCTAGAACAGCACTGGGCCTTGACCCTGGCTCTGGCACAGCACCAGGCCCTGCCCTAGGTCCAGATATAGTAGCAGGCCCTGAACCAGGCCCGGGCCCAGTCCTGGATACAGCACCAGGTCCTGGTCCAGGTCCAAGAACCCCACCAGGCCCTGCCCCAGACCCTGGCTTAGGTCCTGACTCAGATGCCAGGCCTGAGATCCCACCCCAGGCCTGGCAGACAGGGCAGCTCTTCTCCCCCTGTCCTGCAGCTTTGCAGGCCTCTGGAGAGGAACCTGGCGGGTTGGACTTCATCTTCTATTGAGCCATGCAGACCCAGGATCTGTCCATCTGTAGGGGGAAGCAAAACAAAGAGTTTTCTAGAATTGTTTCAAGGAGTTATTTCTAGAATCATTTATGAAAGCCCTAGGAGCTGAGGGGAACTCCTGCTGGGAATTAGAAACCTTTTGAGTTCCCCTAGAATCTGTCTTCAGAACCTCGAGAACCTCCCAGGTGCTACTGCTTTGCAAGGATCAGACACAGGCAGCCCTTGGACCGCACAGGTGGAGAAGCCAAGGCCTGAAGTCACATTGCATGGCTGAGAGTTGCACCCAGCACTCCTGACTTCCTGACAGTTCTTTAAAATCCCTGTCCCTATGTGATACTAGAGGTAGAAGGTCAAGTCAAGCCCTGGGGATCCCCAACATACTGCAAGGTGGATGCATCAGGGAGGGCTTCCTGGAGGAGGAGGAAGGAGGAATGGGGAGGAGGAAGTAGGAGGACCCAAAAGTGCTCTGCATCCCAGGGGCTGGCCACCCCCACCACTGCCTGACACTCAGTGCCTCTAGGTCTCCCCCAGCAGGCGAGTGGCTGGCACCCCAAGGTCACTGGAGCTCCTGGGGCATACAGAGCATCCTCACTCCAACTTAGAAGTGAGTTAGACTATGAGCCGCCAGTGCCACCTCCTGCTCCTCTGGAGGCTGAAGCTGCACATGGCATCACTAGTAAAGGTGGCACGTACTGCAGGCAGCCCGGCTGCCCTGTGGATGCAGAGCTGCCCTGTGGACAGTACTTGCTGGAGAACAGAACCTGTGTCACCAGGGGGCCGAGGGGTGACCCCCAGGGTTGTTGCTGGTGATATCACAGGGCAGGGACCCCCATAGCTTCAGGGTCTGTATCTTGTAGTCACCTCGGTTGCTGTCGCCAGCCCGGGTGAGGGAGGCAGTCATGCCCTAGAGAAGCATGGCCGTTTGGAGGGGCTAACAGTGGGGTGGACATCCCAAATCGGAGTCATCACAGGGGATGAGAGAGGGCGCAGGCCCAGAGCACCCCCGTCCTAGACCCAGCCCAGGGCTTGTCCTAGGGAGAGGTCAGAGCAGTGTCTGTCCTACAGGGCTTTATTTGTGACAGAGGCAGGGCGCTGCTCCTGCCCTTTAACTGCATCTGCCCTTGGGCAAAGTCCTAAAGCCCTATTGAGCCCCAGTATCCACACCTGCAAAATGGACCCGAATTACCCTGACTGTACTGTCCACCCCACAGAGTGGTCCTGTGAGACAGATGGCAAAGCCCTTGACAAATCAGGTGCTGAAGCTGGCTGGCATGTTCCTGGAGGCCCTGTCCACTACCGTGGCCGCGCAGCCCGGGGCCAGTGCCTGGGTAAGGGGGAGGCCGGGAGACAGCTGATGATGAGCCTGCACCCGGGAGCCTCTGGCCAAGGCTGACCCTGGACCCAGCGCCCTTGCTGCTCTGGCCATCCTGTGAAGCAGAGGCTACTGCTCGAGTCAGGCTTAGAGAACAGTCGCGAACGTTAACGGTGTCTCAGTAAATGGCTGGGTCTGGTGCAGGTCGATGGGACCTCAAAGTGGGGTTTGGTGAAAGGAAGAGCACCTGCGAACCCCCCATTCCTCCGGAAGTATAGGCCTGCGGGAGCAAACGGAGCGCTTGCCCCCCCACTCCGGGAGCAGCCCCAGGGCAGGTCCTCCGCACTCCCCCAGTGCCCGAGCCCGCGTTCCTGCTCGCACCCCTGCGCTCACCTGGCCCGCGCTCCGCTCACCTGGCGGGGACTCCGCTCACCTGGCCGGGGCTCCGCGGCCCTACGTGCTGCCCGCGCCGTGCCGGTGTCCCGGACCAGCTCTGGTCA